GACAGTGGTACCCAAGCCAGCTACTTGGTTTTGGGTAATGATGGACAGCTTGGTCCTAGGTTAATGAATGGCACTCAAGCTTGCACGGAGACTGCAAGTCAGAGCTTTCCATCTTCCTCTCGCCTCTTCTTTGTTTTCCTTGCCCACATACTGTGCTAGAGGCAGAAACATGTGGGAGGCTTTTGCATCTGTGTTCACAATATTGGTTGATCTTCTTAGATTCTGGAAGGGATCACTTGCAATATTATTGCTTTCCTCCCACTCAAAAATATTCTTATGCACAGATAGAGGGTTTTACCGTTTTGATATTTTCACTTCTGCCTTTCCATCTAGATGGCAATTGTTGTTCAGGGAGGAGGAAGGTGAGGGGTGAGGACTTGGAATCCTGGACCTTGACAGCAAAGACTCATGAATGAACATAGGAAGCTGCCCTATAGCAGCTCAGACTATTTGCTCACCAGGCCAGCCAGGGATACCAAGTTCCCTCAGCCTCACTCATATATACGCATGTTTATTCATCTTCACTTCTTTAACGTTCTCCTGCCATCAATGTTCTCCTGGGTGCATGACTGAGAAAGTAAATGTGCATTTAGAAGCCTTCCCAAAGTACCAGGAACTGGGGGTGCGGGACAGAAAGCCATTTTAAAAAAGAAAAAAAAAAGGATTAGGAAGGAGAAAGGTTTATTCCGGCTTCTCCAAAATGCCTTTTCCTTAAGTTGTTTTTCCCTATAAGAAGTGGTCATTTGGGTTTTGGACAAATGCAGCTTTATCCTCATATGTGTTCGTATTATTTATTTCATTTATATAAAACCCTTTTCATAGTATGGAAATCCAGTCAGCATAGATTTCCCAGCAGCCTACCATGCAGAAAATGATGTCCCTTCAGAACACATCGTAGGAGATACACACACACACACACACACAGAGAGAGAGAGAGAGAGAGAAGGCTCTGTGTCTTCATATGTGTCTGTATATAATAGTAGATATTGTATACATAGATATGCTTTTACCTAGGTATACTGGTCTACTTTTACAGCAATGATCAATAATACATATTCTACTGTCCTAGATTTCAGCTGGCAACCCCAGTCACACCATGGGATCCATTGTGCTAATTAGGATGTCCAAACCGTTTGGTCATAACCAGCCCTTTGAACTGGGTCCGTTTAGATAGTTCCATAGCAATGTCTGGCTCTCCGTAAATTGGTGCCATCAAACAAACCATGACTGTTAAATGACATGCTAATTTATGAAAGGCAAACTGCGCTTAGATGGCTGCGATAGCTTAGCTTTTATTTCAGAGAACGATTTGCCTTTGTGATCTTGCAATTTAATGTTGTAGCTAATGTAATTCAATAATGACTATCAAAGAATAATGGGGACTTCTCGTTCAGACTAGAGGCCAGAGGCAACAATCAAAAGCTCAGCTGCACTCTGGCATCGATGCTTATAAATTGGTTCTGGGTGTCGGCTTCCACTACTGGGATGTCAGATGAAAAATTGGAACAGGGCTCCCCTCCTCTCTGCTCCTTCTTCCAGGGCCTAGCAGCTTTTCTGAAGTCATCCTGTTGGACCACTTTGACCATGGCTCCGTCCCTACTTGCTCAGGAGTTCCTAACATGCTTGACCCTTGTCAGTAAGTTGCAGAATCATGAGATTTGTTCTCAATCCAATTCCATCAGTTAGTTCACTTGTGTTTAGAAAGAAAAATGAAACGCAGTTTCATTCTAGAAAGAGTGGTTATCCAACTCAGTGTCTCTGTAGTCTGATAGTCCTACATTTACAGAAGCCATCCGTTTCTGATTTGATGCTGGAATGTCCTGCGTTTCCCCAGGACGTCCCTATTTTCATCAGAGAAATGTTAGACGGTATGGAGTTATCCGACCCCCGAACCATCTGAAGGCAGCCCTATATAGGGAAGGTTTTTTAAATGTTTAATTAAAATTGACTGCGGAGAGTTGGGAGAATCCCCCCCCCAAAAAAAAACAGATTGGGGGGGGCATGTGGTGAGAGGAGAGGGGAAGGATGTTCCTTTGCACAGCCAAAAATTCTTGCACTGGTGGTTTGATTTCGCTGGACACCATGCAATATTTCCCAATATTTCAACCTTTTTCTGAGGGCAAGGAAGAATGCTAAATTTCCTTTGATGTGAAGAGCATCTTGTTGTTTCCTTCCATCAACACCAAAAATACTGGGACTCAGAGCTGCACAGGCAAGGCTCTGAAGAACAGCAGGCATGAGAAACTGATGGGGAAGACCTGCTTTTCTGTATGGCTTTGATGTTGAGTGAAAGGGGTTCTATAATGGAAATAAACGCTGCTCTTGGGACATTGAAGTTCTGCGATAAAGTTCAATGCAAGGTGAATGAGTATATTGTGAAACATGTCAAAAGAAGAACAGGAGAAACCAGCCCCATACGCCATATCAAAGAGAACTACCACTTCCTAGAAAGAATGTTTGAAAAATACTGGCTTAAAGGATATTCCTATTAGCATCCCTTTTGCTCCCAGTAGATTCATTTCCTGCTGAATCTGTGATCTAGAGGATCAAAGTTTGCATTATGTCAGGAGCTGCACTTGCATGGATTCCAGAATACTGGTGCAAGTCAATGCCTGAGTGTCCTCCTGTGTGTAACTGTTCTAACCAAATTATATATTTCTTACCACTGGTTTCTGATAGTTCTGCATAGCTAAAGTCCCACAATAATGAGTGACTATTATTTAAGTGTCCTTTTTGCTTGGTTTCAGCATTTGGGTCAGAGTCCAGTTGCTACAGTGACATTGCAGCTCCTTGCCCTTGAGTAAGGCTATAAAAAGACATTGTGCAAATGCTTCGAAATTAGCAGTAATTAAACCAGCCCACTTCGCTGCTCTTACATCTCTGCTCTTAGTCAGCCATCCCCCTCATTGTCAGGGCTCTGGAGCAAAGACCATTGTAGTGCTCTGCACAACTGAACCTCCCTTTTCTCCGTATGCAAATGGTGCCTTCCAGGCATCCGCTATTCCCTAGGGAGTGCAAATAGTATTCCTCCTGAATTCTATGCATTGCAACCCACTCTTAAGAATGCTGCAGAAAACTAGGCCCCGCTGAAATGGATGGCACAAAATGCTTGCGATTAGGTAGATGCCAGTGCCGTGTGTGTGTGTGTGTGTGTGTGTGTGTGTTGCTTAGATCTATAACTTGACAGATGATAATTTACAGCGGGCAGGGGGAGGCAGGGGGAAGCAGGGGGGGGGAAATATTGGCTATTTCGGTTGTGCATACTGTGGTACCTCGGGTTACATACGCTTCAGGTTACACATTCCGCTAACCCAGAAATAGTACCTCGGGTTAAGAACTTTGCTTCAGGATGAGAACAGAAATTGTGCTCTGGCGGCGTGGCAGCAGCAGGAGGCCCCATTAGCTAAAGTGGTGTTTCAGGTTAAGAACAGACCTCCGGAACGAATTAAGTAGTTAACCTGAGGTACCACTGTACTTAGGTTTAGTTACAACTGGGCATGGGCGAGAAATATTTTTCATTCTAAGGGCCACTGATTCAGATTTTGGTGTTTATAGAAACTTAGAATAGCACAGATGAGTAGTCAATATCCCTCCCAAGAATGCAGGGAGAGAAAATGTGTTTCATTACCTTCTTTAAGAATCCTCACTAGGTTTCTTAGCTTATTGTCAGGTTTTCCATTAGATTTCTGTTTTGGAGGCCATTCTATTATTGCCCAGTAGCAATGCTGGTGACAATGAGTTCCGCAGGTCAATTCTGCGATAATTACAGCTGTATTTTCTGACGTTTATTTTCCTCCTTCATAACAGTTATCCTGGTTTTCTGCACCCTAACCCGGAAGCACGCTCCGTGTCATTTTAACTGTACCAGGGCAAAAACAGACGGAAGGAACTTTGAACAGTAGCTTTCAGAACGGTAAGCAGCGTGGCTTGGGCCCGAAGTAGCATGCAATCCGTTCTTTGCTTACACCCACGCAAACTGCAAATGTAATATTTTTAGAATGCCCACGTTAAAGGCTGTGAGAAGCTTTCATTTGGATATTTGCATCTTCAGTAGCAAAAATACCTCGCCGCCCTCTGCTTGATTCCTTTTTCGAAAAACAACCCAAACCCCAAACCTCCTGCTAATTTTAACATTGCAATGGGTTTCTATTTTGCGCGGTTGGGGCAGAAAGTGCTCTAATCGGAACCAAGGGCGTCCCTCGCATGCGGCAGTGGAACGTGGGAGCCCATCTCAGCCCAGAACTGGGTGTTGACGGGGCAGCGCCCTAATGAGCTGTCTGTTCTTCCGGGGCGCCACAGTTGGCTCCTCGTCAGCCCAAATCCTGAATGGTGCCAAGGCGTTGATGAGATTACTTGAAGAATGCAAGGCGAAACCCCGCCTCCTTGAAAGCAGCCAGTAAAACCCGCCGCCTGGGCGGAATCTGGGTGGGACTGGCGGACTCTTTCCTTTGTCGCTGCATTGAGAGAACTCACAGAATGGGAAGGGAAGGAGTCTTCTCGAGAGGCAAGTGTCCGCAACTCTGAAATCTATGGCTGGGGCAGTTTGAATATGCCTGGGGATGCTTCCAGCTTTTTAATTTCTATATGCAAATTAATAATCCTGAGAGCCTTTCTGCATTTTGCATTCTGTCCTTCAATCTTTGTGGAGTTTGATTTCTCACTTGGATGGTTTCATGATAGCGAGGGGCTATTTCTTAAAGGTTTCGTGGCTCTGCTTTAATCATGTGTACAGGCTGCGAGTTTTTTTAGCTAAGTTGTGGAAGTGGTTGGGCTTCTTTGCAGCAGCTTCCTCCAAGCCTTTCCAGCTGAGTTTTCAAATCTGGGCTCGTGTGTTGCAAATAAATGCCTTTGCTTTCTTCGGACCCTGTCCCCGGCCACCGAACGACGGCTTGAATTGTTTTTAATGGTGCTGCGCGTTCCTCGCCGGCGAAATGGGCATTTTTTTTTGGGGGGGGGGGGACAATTTGGCAGGACGGGCGATTGCAGAAGCGGGGGTTATTCTAGAATGGTGTGTTCATCCGACCGAGCCGCACTTCAAAGAATGGGAAATATTGCATGCGTTTTGTGGTGCAAATCCGAAGTAATTATGGAAACTGTAAATCGCTAAGCTCAGGAAGAGGTGCAGTAAAGCTGGTTTGGGATTAGTTTGTTGCATTGAAATCCTGACTCTGTGCTGTAACAGGGAAGCGTTCTCCCGACTCTAAATCATGCCTCTTCGCCTTGGCCAGTTTAAGCCCACCTTTCGGGTTAAGCACCTTTGCCTCTGTTCATCCGGGTGAACTGCGATCGCACGCGAAAGTCTTGCCCCAGGGTGACGGGTGCCTCGACTCGCTCTCCTTGGTGCCGGCCCGCCCGCGCCGCATCTCCTCTTCCTACCTGTCCGAGAAACATGGCTCACTGACATCATGGAAACACCCGACGGCTGCCCGCGAAAGCGCGAGCGAACGCCGCCTTGGCGCTGATCCGTCTGGAGATTCCCCTTGGTCAGCGCCGCTGTCAATCAACCGAGACGATTCTTTGCCCTCTCCGGAACCTCCCTGGGAGGAACCAAGCTGGGTCTGGCCGAGAGGCTCCGCCCCTTTCTCGCTGCCGAAGGGAGTAGCAGGGACCAGGCAGGTAGAGCTGCTTAGAGGGTGCATCTTTGTGTTTGTCGCTCCCGCCCGCTTCGTTGTCGTGGCCGTCTGCCTGTCAGTGGCTTCTCTGACTCCTGGCTGTGCTTTGGCAGGTTGCTCAGAGGTGAGGAAAAGCCGCTTGGATCTCGCTCCCTCCAAGCCCTGCCTGCGGTGGGGGCACAACCGCGGCTCGGAAGAGCTTACTTTATAGCCCGACTGATGCTTGCGATCGCTGTCAGTTCCCAGGTAGGAAGAGGGCTGAGTTTCCAGAAAGCTTGTTACTTGTTCTGATGTAGTTTCCCCCTGGGTTGTCTTTGAGGGGCGGGAGATTAAGCAACTTTCCAATTGCATATATCGATTTACTGCTCCTTATTTTCTGTCCCTCTCTGGTTTTCCTCTGCAATTTGGCTTGTGTGAACGCTCAGCTGTTATGTAGCTTCGTTTTATAACTACATGCATTGACACTTTTAGCCATAAATTTGCCACTGGGGAGGAGAGAAAGAGAAGAGTGTGTGCCAAGTTGGTTTGGGAAGATTAGTGAGGCAAATAAAAGGACTCTCACTATTGTTTTGTGAGCTTCTACTATCTTCTGGCTGCTAACTGCTGGGAGACAGAATACAGTACTGGGTTCAGGAGACTCTTTGGGTCAATCCAGCAAGGACATCCCTATCCTTTCCTTTCCCCATCTTCACCCAATGGTGGTATCTTACTAGGTTTGGGGAGCTGTATGCTACCTTGCAAAACTCAGGTGCATCTTATATTCTGTGCACAATTTTTTCACTTGGTTGCTGGAAAGGTTTGCAAAAGGTTGTTTTTTTTAAAGAGCTTGATAATTTGTCTGTGAAGTTATACGTGGCATGAGAAATACTTGCATTGTTTCTTCCAGTACTGAGCTAAATTAGAGAAATCTCTGAGAGAAGTCTTTGCTCAATATCTGGCTGCTACTTTTTATTTTGCAAGAGTTCTGTGGATTGATTGGTTTAAAGCTTGAGTACTTTTTCCACTGATGGTAGTTGGCCCTTCAAAAGAGCTTGTATTATTTCCGTAGTTCTTAGGAGTTTTTTTTTTTTTTTTTTTGGTACTGGTATAGTTCCTGTGGTTCTCAGCATCTCAGACCAATACAGTAATATCACTCTGTGTCGAGAAAGTACCTATTTTCTCCCACAGCAGGCTTGGTGTTGGGCAGCTGGTTTCCTGTGCAGAATTTGGGAGTCTGTGATGATAGCTTGAGAGGCTCTGGTCTGGATGATTTAAATAAGAGTCGCTCCATATAAAGACATTCAAAGTAACAAGCTGGAAGTTCAATGTCCCTGCCATCTGCAAGATACACAGGAGTTCCCCATACTGATTCCTGCTGCCCCAAATAATACGCTGGGGCTATCAGGATCACAATAAGGGTGGCACTTTCCATGTTGGGTATTGTAACATGAACTCTCCAGGCCCACTGGTAGTATTTAAGAGAAGTAGTAGCAGTAAACCACATCCAACTGTGGTTCAAACTGCCATTTGGATTCAGCCTAATCATTGCTTTCTTATCTTTCTTTGTGATGCTGTGCAGCAAGCATAAATGAGCTCAGATCTTCTGAAATGTAGAGTGCAGCTGCATGGTTCCCCTGTTAGCCGTTAACTGGAAATAAACTCATTAGCCTGAATAGGCATGAGCAGATGTCCTAGTTTGCCTGCATTCTCTGAGACGATTCAGATTCTGAACATCAGTCTAGTCATCTCTCATAAAATCTATTGCAATCCTCGGTGGTGCTGTTAGAGAGCAGTATTTGATGTTCCTGTATTTGTTTTTATCCCTTCAAGAATACGTCTGTAGCAGCTTGAAATGGAACTGCAATGTTGAGGATTTTTAATACAATTTTTTTTGTTTTGTTTAATTGTAAGAGTTTACTTTGTGCACTGTAACATATCTAATTCTGGATTAATTGATACATTCACCATGTATTGCTTACTACATCTGGGGGTTGAAGGCTGAATTTCTGGGAGGCTCTTCAGCAGGGAACTACCACAAATCTTGCCTTCTTGCTGTGTGCCTTGGAAATGGCAATAGACAACCAGCTGGCTGTTGAATGTAAGCTCAGAGATCCTGAGAATATCTGCACTTTTGCAGAAATAGCTTGTGGCCTCTTTAACCCCCCACCTGGTTTGCATCAATGGAACATTTCTCTTTTCTCCTTTCTTGATCACTTCTTAAGAAAGGGGAATAATTAAATCTAGTTTCTTCTAGACACAGTGCTACTGGTTTCCTGTTTATTGGATACAGAGAAAGCAGCCTGAGCTCATGGCCAGGACGATATGGTCACTGCTGTACCTCTGCATGCAGTGATGCAAACACATTGGTGTCAAACTGTCAGCAAGGGACTAGCAGTTTTAATGCTAGGCCCAAACTGGTCCTTTGGTATCTCAAAAGTTTTCTTCTGCAAATGGGGCTTCCGTTTTTCTGTTTCATTTCATGGGAACTTCAGAATTTGTTTAGGGTGTAGCTTTTGAGTTGGCTGAGGGTGGTGTGTGTGTATGTGTTCATCTTTCTCTAGCGCTCTGCAGTTTCCCTGATTGCCCACACTTTCTGATCTCAACAATCTCTAATGGAGGATTTGCCTCATGATGTCTTCTCTTGGGCTTCGGTTGAGGAAGGGCTCAGTGGTAGAACATCTGCTTTGCATGCAGAAGGCCCCAGGCTCAATCCCAGGCATCTGCAAGCAGAGCCCCCTGTCTGAAACCCTGAAGAAGCGCTTCCAGGCAGAGTAGACAATACTGAGATAGATGAACCCAATGTTTTGAGTGTGGGCACCCAAGAAGGATGCATAATGCAGACCCCCAGTGAGATTTGTAGAATGTAAGAAAGGACACTCCTTTGGACCACCTCAGAAGTACAGGTGGTATGAGAAAAGCCCTGTACTCCACCCACTGAATTTCTTTCTCTCTCATATGCACACATACACTTTGAGCATTTTCAATTGCAGTTTCTTTTCTCATTCATTGAGAGAGAAGCGGAAATAGCATTTCTGATATTCTTATTAGTGCTGAAAATTTGACACCAACCACAGTGGTGCTAGTAGCAACCGTGTGCTACAATTAGCCGTTCCCACAATGGTTCCAGACTGTTTCTATCATTTTTAAATATTTGCTCCCCGCACCAAGAGAAAGTGGTGCCAGGATTCCTGGCAGTTGGCGCCCTTGGAAACAATTGCCTGCCTCAAATCTGCAGCTCACAAAAAATGGGTGCTTGTGGTTTTCCTGTAAGTAGTTGGCTCACACATGCTATGAATCAGGGGTCAGCAAACTTTTTCAGCAAGGGGCTGGTCCACTGTCCCTCAGATCTTGTGCGGGGCCAGACTATATTTTGGAGGGGGGGGGATGAACGAATTCCTATGCCCCACAAATAACCCAGAGATGCATTTTAAATAAAAGGACACATTCTACTCATGTAAAAACACACTGATTCCCTGACTGTCCGCAGGCCGGATTTAGAAGGTGATTGGGCCGGATCTGGCCCCCGGGCCTTAGTTTGCTTACCCATGCTCTGGATTGTGAACTACTGTATATTAAGTTGTGGGAAATTAGCATCCCTCATGGAATCCTCCCCGAAGAGCCCTATGCATGTGGGAATGCGACATCTTAAAACAGAGAGAGAGGTGAATATAGCCAAGGTGGGTAGAAGGTAGATTGGGATTTACAGGCAGATCTCTGGGTGATCTGTAGTAGACTGGCAAGGATTTTAGGTCCCTGATGGCTTTAACAGCAGTAGCAGTAGCATTTCCCCTGCCCTAAATTATACTACTAAAATGAAAAAAGCTTGGAATAATCAGGATTGGGTGTATGTGTGGAAGGACTATGAGCTCAGTTTATGCATCACAAATTACTGGGTTCTGAATTCCTTAATTCAAGCCCTTTTCCTTGCAAGCTGGATGGATCTTGATGTAGTAGCATAACACCTGGAGGCAGCCCTGTATAGGGAAGTTTTTAATGTTTAATATTTCACTATGTTTTTGTATATGCTGGGAGCCATGCAGAGCGGCTGGGGCTACCCAGTCAGATGAGCAGGGGTACAAATATGATGATGATGATGATTCAATCACATATGCTTGTGCGCTTTTCATGGCTAGCCCACAACTTTTCAGAATGAAGAGTCTGATAGACAGTGCTATTTTTCTAGAAAAAGAGGTGCTGGAACTCATCTTGTTCTCTTATAATGGCAATGGCACCCACCTGAGAGGTGCAGGAACTTAAAAAAAGTCCTGCTGTTGACACTACACTGCATTTTAGCAGATCTTGTAAACTAAGTTCTGTATTTAATGCATGAGGAATGACTTAACAAAGCATAAAGCCTGTGGCGATCTTGGATCTATTTCTAGTTGTGCTTGGAACTATTTAATGCCAAAACCAATACAGTAGCGCCCCAATTATAGTATTCTCCACATTACCAGGTTTACTCTGTTGTTGTTTTTTCTATATAAGCTCAGCAGCGCAGTGTAACTGGCCAAAGAGCTCTGTGGAGAGCCTTGGCCAAAGTCAATAAAACAGAGCTCTTTGGCCAGTTACACTGCGCTGCTGAGCTTATATAGAAAAAACAACAACAACAACAGAGTAAACATTTCTACCTCAAGGCAGAAAAACCTTGCACAGCCAAGGTCTTTTCTACCTTTTCCTCCATTACCGGTTTCACTTGTACACTTTCTAAACAAAAGTTGGCTGCTGGGTCATTTTATCCAACCTATTCTCCATCTCCTTCACTGGGCTGGGCTGGGTGCTTCTCTTCCTCATCATGGCCCCCAGACACAGGTTTCAGGGACCCCATTTTGCAGGACAAACCAAAGACAGGCTCCCTGAGGTAGAGCTGGCAATTGTGCCGCACCAAGGCCAGGGAAGTTGTTTTGGTGCCTGAGGCTGAAAATCCCACAAGCACCTTCCCCACTTCTTTGGCAAGAAAAGATGACGATAATAAATTGAATAACTAACTGTGCGCTGCCCTTTCTGATACCCCAAGCAACTGCCTGAGGTGAATGTCTTACTCTGCTTAACACTGAAATTGTGTCCTAGATAAGTGGAGAAGCACCTGATACACTGAAGGAGAAATTCACCCCTTGTCTTAGACCTGGAAATAAGACGCCCCCATGTATAAGGCACCCCCTATTTTGGGGGACTCAGATTTAAGAAAATGTGAGGAGATGGCCCAGAGTATAAGACGCCCCCTAATTTTTTTTTTTTTTAAATTCTTTTTATTAATGTTCCTTTATCAC